AAAAACTGAACAACTGTCACAGACCAGAGGAAGATTTGGGAGCCATGATAATTGACTGAAATGTGGTACTTGTGTGCTGAGAAGAGTTAACATAGTGGGCTTGAACTGCCATCCTTAGAACTGATATTTACAAGGTTCGCTCCTGGTAGACAACTGTGAATTTAGATTTTCAAAAGGTTTCCACCATTTCCTGATAAGCCTAGCTTAACTGTTTGTATTAAAGATGTGGTGAATTATGTTATGGAAAACTGCCTTCATTCGTGAAAGTCTATAGGTTGTGGATGTGTTAGAAAGTGCTGGCTTTCAAAAAAGAACCTGGGTACTGGGTCTATTCATTTCCTATGAGTTGTTGTAACTTACTGCTGAGGGAATTAAATACAGCCTGTGGGACTCCACTATGAGATGATGCCTACAACTTGGGTTTAACTTCCTTCAGACTTTTCCACACTTGCCTTTCTTTTTTTAATGATTCTGTTTTATATCCTTGCATTTTAATAATTTATAGCTATGAGTACAATGATATGCTGAATATCGTATGGCTTGTGGGGAATCACAAAACCTGGACACCTCTGACTAACCTGGATTGGATCCTGGCAAAGAAAGAGAGCATTAGTATAAACACTAGTAAGGCCCAAATAAGGCCTGGAATTTAGTTAATCATAATGAATTATTGTCAGTTTTTTAGTTTTGGCACGGATACAATTGAAATTTAAGAATGTTAATGATCGGAGAAGGGTGAGGGGCATATGAGAACTTTGTACTACTTTTTCTGTAAATCTAAAACTATTCCAAATGTAAAAAGTTCATTTGGTTTGATTGTTATGAACTCAAGCCAAAGGATTTTGAAGTTCATGAAAAATTCATATTCCCACTAACGGGTATGTGCGCACACACTGAGGTGAGGCCTTTATTTACCATAACCTAAGGCACAGATTGTGGTTTAAAAAATCAGATCCAGGACCTGTGATGAGAGTAACACAATTTAAAAGAAGGGTGGAATTAGTTATTAATTAGAATAAATGGGTCAATTAGGTTGAATAAATAAGGGTTCTTAACCCACAGCTTATCTCCTAAAGTCAAGGCCCTGGATGGATATCCTTGAACTGATGAGATTTCCTTGATTCTGTGAAACAGCATGTGTGATCTGCTCCCCCACAGCCAGGCAGGACAGTGGCCTCTGCTTGCCTGAAGACCATGCAGAAATCTCACCTAAGGAAGGTGTCTTCTACAATGCTTTTTTTTTTCTTCTCACAGAACCCCTTCAGTGTTTCTACAGAACTAATAACTCGAGTGGAATCGAGTTTCATCAAGCATATCAGGTGAAGTACCATGCCTGTTTTGGAAGAAGGGTTATATATCTACTGACAGGGTTATATATACTGCAGAGAAGAACACACATGCAGGAAGTGCATGGCTGGGGGAAGTGGTCTGAAGGGAAAACACCTTAAATGACCAGAGAAACCGCAAAGAGATCAAATTCAATTTAAATTGTTAAAATTATTTCCTGTCATCAGGAAGTCAAGGTCTAAAGAGGTTATATTAAGCTAGATGCCAGGGACTCACTCCTGTTAATCCTGAGATCTGAGGATCACAGTTTGAAGCCAGCCCATATAGGAAAGTCCCTGAAACTCTTACCTCCAATTAATCACAGGAAAAAAAAAAACTGGAAATGGAGCTGTGGTTCAAGTGGTAGAGTGCTACCCTTTAGCACAAAAGTCGCTCAGGGACAGCACTCAGGCCCAGAGCACAAGCCCCAGGACTGTTTTTTTTTTTTTTAAAAAAAGGAGGCTGTGTTAAGAGAAGTTGAAATTCTTCATACTCTAGTTGGTATGTTGCCAGTGATAGATCAACAAGTGAGGTATCAACAAGTAATTTATGTATCCTGCTGTGTCTAACACAGGAGCTAGCTCTAGTAACTATAAAAACATAGTTAATTGGAGGAACTCACTGAAAATAGAGTGCACACACAACTGGCTAAATGCTGATATATGAGCATGCTTGCCATAGAGAACAGAAGCTAAGGACTATGTGAAGTACTTAGGTGAAGTACTAATGGCTCACTCCTGCAATCCTAGCTACTTAGGAGGCTGGGATCTTCTGAGGATCCTAGTTCAAAGACAGCCTGGGCAGGAAAGTCTATGAGACTCTGGTCTCCAATCAACTACTCTGAAAACTCTGGAAATGGTGCTGTGGCTGAAGTTGTAGAGTACTAGTCTTGAGCAAAAGCAGCTAAAGGACAGCACCCAGGCCCAAAGTTCAAGCTCTAGGACAAGCGAAAGAAAGAAAGAAAGAAAGAAAGAAAGAAAGAAAGAAAGAAAGAAAGAAAGAAAGAAAGAAAGAAAGAAAGAAAGAAAGAAAGAAAGAAAGAAAGAAAGAAAGAGAGAGAAAGGAAGAGAGAGGAAGGAAGGAAGGAAGGAAGGAAGGAAGGAAGGAAGGAAGGAAGGAAGGAAGGAAGGAAGGAAGGAAGGAAGGAAATGTGAATGTTTTCTGAAAGTGATGCAACCCTCTATGCTCAATATAAACTCCTCAGAAATGTCTCCTCTTCTAAGAGCTGTAATGCCTCCTAAAATGCCTGGTATGTTCATCAACATGCACATCGAACATTGATGTCAGATTATATTCCAAAACCATTTAATTATTATTCCATTGTTTAATATTTTCAAGTAACAATCTGGTGTCTGATATGGAAAATTACAATTTCTTAGCTTGTTCATTAAGGCTTCTCTGTATTCTTCCCTTTAGTTAACTTGTTTTCCATTCTAACACTGAGGCTTCAAACTAAACAAGCCCATCTTGCAAGTCTCCAAATATATCTAGAACATCCTAGGGTTTTATCCTGGATATGCTTTTTTGAAAACTAGCTTCTTCACCTGCAAATGCTTCCTTCCCATCTGTGCATCTAACTTAAAAGTATAAATTTTACCATTCAGAATTAGTTCATTGCATGTGTTCTTTTCTACAATATCAACTCCCTGTACTAAGGTTGGCTTAGTAAGTAATTCTTAAAACTTAAAACATTTAAAAATCAGAAGCTTGACAGGCTGATGCCTGCAAGCCTCATTATTGGGGAGTAAGAGATTTAAAGAATGGGGGTTAGAAGTCAGCCTAGGAAAAAAGCTAGACTTCATTTCAATAAATAAGCCCAGCTAAGTGGCAGAAGCTGGTAGAAGCTGGTAGGCAAAAAGAGATTGTATTTGATTAAAAAAAAAACAAACTTAAAAGGGCTGAGGTGTGACTGGAGTAGTAGAGTGCTTATCTAGCAAGTGCTAGGACCTGACTTCAAATCCCAATACTGGGGGAACCTTCCCCCAACCCCAACCAACCAACCAACCAACCAACCAAGAAACCAGTAAGTTATACTGGGGCCTTCACTTTAACATGGCTGATATTCACCAGTAGCTGACAGCTTTAGATATATGTTGTTCAACTCAATGTCAGGGTTTAAGTCAAAAACTATTTAAAGCCTGGTGCTGGTGGTTCACATCTGTAACCTTAACTACTTAGGAAGCTGAGAACAGGAGGATTCCAGCTTGAGGCCAGCCCGAGCAGAAAAGATTCAGAAGACATCTTTTCTCAACCTATAAATGGGCACAGTTGCCAGTGTTTGTCATCCCAAGCCACATGACAGGCTGAGACTGGTTTCATGCTAGGCTAGCAGAAAAGTCTATCAGATCCTCCCAATAGAAGAAGCTGGTAATTCCAGCAACTAAGAAAGCCTAATGTGGATGGTTAAGAAAGCCTAATGTGGATGGTGGCTCAAGAAAGTGCGCAATGTAGCCGGGTGCCAGTGGCTCACGCCTGTCATCCTAGCTACTCATGAGGATTGCGGTTCAAAGCCAGCCCAGGCAGGAAAGTCCGTGAGACTCTTATCTCCAATAAACCACTAGAAAACTGGAAGTGGCTTTGTGGCTCAAGTGGTAGATTGCTGGCCTTGAGCTGAAGAGCTGAGGGACAGCGCCCAGGCCCAGAGTTCAAGCCCCACAACCGACAAAAAAAAATAAAAAGAAGAAAAGAAAAAAAAAAGGGCGGCAGCTAACATAGTAATTAGGTATAGCCTCGAAGAGAATAAGTAGATGCTATGGAAAAAAATGTTAAAACGGGATGGGGCATGTGTGGGTGGGAAAGGAGCTTGCACTTTTGTACTCATTTACATCCCTGACTGGATCCCATGGAATCTGGGCTTACAACGCATAGCAACATCTGCATGTCACCTATGTTACACGCTGCCCTGTGGAAGACAAAGTGTGTGCCTTCCGTTCCTGTCCTTCCCAAGTCAGCACAGTGTTTCCCCTCACAACAGTGCTTTTGCTGGTTAGGTGGAGACAAGCATCTCCTGCACTTTTCTGCAGGGGGGGGGAGTGGCTTCGAACCACGATCTTCGGATCTCAGCCTCCTGATCAGCTAGGTGACAAGGCAGAAAACTAGGCCCGGCTCCTCCTGTCGTTCTTATGGAGGACAGCAGTGGGATGATAACAGCGACGAATCTGCAGAGAGAGCCACAGCGGCGCGTAGCTGGGCACCGAGCAAGGCGCAGCCCGCCGAGCGCCCCGAGGGAGGCCGATCTCCCGCAGATTCTCAAACCCACCCAGTTGCAGGGAGGCAGCTCCGTCTCCAGGGCGACGGGACAATGACGCGAAATGCATCCTGGGAGAAGACCTGCCATTCGGATGGGTGTAAGAGGGTGAAGAGACAGCGGCTACCACCATCGGCGGCCCCCGAGAGAAGAGTCTCAGGCGACTGCGCCCCCTGCCGCGCCGCCGCCAGCGCTGCAGTCCGGGGATCTAGTGGCTTCCAGGTCTAGGAGAGGCAACTTCCGGGCCCGAAGGTCCTCCGTTCTATAGCTCGCCGGGGTCCTAGCGATGGATATAGGTGGCCGCAGCAGGCGCCTGACGCCTGAGTGCATGCGGGTCGGGGTTGCGGCGTCCTCCCGGAGGATGGCAGCGACAACTGCGTTGGAGAGAGCTTGAGGAGAGTCGGAGCTCTCCCTGGCAGGGGAGCTGGGGCCGATCGTGCGGGCGGATGGAGGCCGGGGAGCCGTCTTAGCAGGCACGATCTGGGCAGCTCGTGGGCGGAAGTGCGGGTTCGGCAGCCCGATCCCAGCCGTCAAGGAAGCCACGGCGGGCCGCCCGGCGGGAAGCAGCTGCCGAGCCGTCTCCAGACCTCAGCCAGCGGGGCCCGGGCGCCGGCGAGATGCCTCTGTTCAACAACAACCCGTTCGAGCAAGACGTGGGTGAGTGCGGGGCGCGCTCCGGCGCTGCTGCTTGTCCGCCTGGAAAGTGGGCGGCGACGACTGGGCTGAGCGCGAAGGGGCGGTGCCGCCGCCGGGACGCCGGGGACCCGCTCGGCTCCGGGTCGGCGGCCGGGGTCGGGGAGCGGCGGTCGCGGAGGACCCCGCCGGCTGCTCGCCGGAGCTCGGGGACTCTGGCCTAGCACCCGGATGGGGCAGAACCTGTGGTTCGCAGAGCATGTAATCCTTGCGGAGTTGACGGCACCGACTTCCCCTTCCTTCCAAAGCCGGTTGATCCCACCCCCCCCCTCCCCCCGTCTCCCACCTCTTCCCCTGACGTCGCAGCCTGGGGGAGCCTGCCACCGAGGGTGGGCACCGTTTAGGGCCGCCCAAAGCTGGAGACCTCGACCCCACTTGCACACGGAGCAGTCCAAACTTCCTTCATGCTGCTTTACACTCCAGCCGGGCAGGGCAGCGTCAGGATTTATTCACAATCATGGAAGTGCTACGAAACGGAAATGTTCTTCCCTAGAGAAAAGGAAAACGCTAGAATATCCAGACAGTACAGAACAAGGAATAATGTACTGGGGGTCAAATAACATCGGTCTTAGAAACTGTATGATAATAAAAATAATGATAATAATGCAATATGGGCGGAATAGAAACACTTGAGGCATTAGATTTGCAGTAAAGGTTACTAAGACATTTTAGTAGCACTGGTTAGCAGAACCCTGGGAAGATTTTTTTTTTTTTTTAAAGTACGGTACATCTTACCCACCTGTTTGGTAGTTGCAAAGTCTTAAGGAAGTGTCTAGAAATTGTCCTATTTTTGTATGTTTTGTAATCTCAAAATAAATTATGTTCAAAAGCTACCTGTTAGTCTTATATATGTAAGTGTTTGTAGTATTCACCTTCAAGTATGTGTTTCTCCTGTTACATTTAAATTTTTCTTGGTGTGCAAATAACATGACTGGCAGGAGTCAAGGAAACTTCATGCTGTGGCTGTCTCTGCTCTAGGAACAAGTATTTCGTTCTGTTTTATTACAGGAACCTTTTAAGACTTTTTGGCAACAGTCTCACCTAGTAGCTGAGGCTGACCTTCGACTTTTGATCTCCTTGCCTCAGGCTCCAGTGTGCTAGGATTCAAAGTCTGGACCAACACACCAGGCTTTTGCCCTTTCTCTTGATATTGTAAAGGCTTGTGTTTTGTTGTATGGAAATGTTATAGAAGAGGAAAAACAGAGTAAGACTCAGATTATTCATAAATGAATACCTTTCTTGGAAAACCCACTGCTTTCTGATGGAAAACTTGTCTGGTAGAAGTAGAATCGCTTTGCCTGAAATAGATCTGCCTGGGTGGCTCCTGCAGCCCTGAAACCAGAGTTTAGTACTACTGTAGTAGAAGGAGCAGATAGTTACAATTCAGGGAGGAGGCAGTACTAGCATTTAAACTCAGGGCCTTGTGCTTGTTAGGCAAAAGCTAAACTACTTCAGTCACACCCTTGGTCCTTTTTAATTTAGTTATTTTTCAGCCAATAAGTCACTTTTTTTTTTTTTGGCCCAAAGACCAGCTTTAAAATATCCTCCTCCTATTTATACCTTTGTATAGATGGGAATATAAGCATGTGCCACCATAATGGCTTGTTGGTTGAGATGCATTCTTGCATACTTTTCTGGCTAGCTTGATTTCTGCCTTCCAAGTATCTAGGATAACAGGCCTGTGTTACCACAACCAGTATTTGAAGTAAGGATTTGAACTTAGGACCAGATGCTTGCTATTTAGGCAGTCATCCACGTGAGACATTCCTTCAGCTCCTTTTCTTTCTTTCCTTTTTTTTTTGTCTTGTTCTTGGGGCTTGAACTCAAGGCTTGGGCACTGTCCCTGAGCTCTTTTAGCTAAAGGGTAGCCCTCTACCAAGCTCCACTTCTGGTTTTCTGGTGGTTAAGAATCTCACAGGTTTTCCTCTCAGGCTGGCTTTGAAACACAGATTCTCTGTTCTTAGCCTTCTAAGTAGCTAGGATTACAGATGTGAGCCACTAGTGCTGGGCTAGATTATTTTCTTGATGGAGCTCTTTTTATACCTGAGCCAGCCTGGACTTTTTCTTCTATTTGTGCCTCCCTTTGTTGCTAGGATGACAGGCATGTGCTACCATGCTCAGACATTGGTTGAGATGGAATCTCAAACTTTTATACCTGGACTGGCCTTGACTCTCAATCTTTCTGTCTCCAGCACCATTGGTAAATGACAGTTTTGCCACTACACCCATCTGGCCACAAATTTAATGAATATATTTTGAAGTGTTTTTTAAAAAGCGAAATATTTTGAGTGCAAGACACAACATAAACTTCCATTCCTCCTAGCTAACTCTTTCAGTTCCTATATTTGGACATACTTTTAAGAAGAGAACACTTTTAAGGTTGGTGAAATACAGTTGAATTTATTTCCAGCAAGTTGATTCCATTTTATCTTCCTTTTTTACACAAGAATTTGATGTATAGATATTCCACACATCTATATGTGTATGATGAGGGGAGGTGGGGTTCTGCCTGTTTGCTATAAAAGTATCTTTCTTTTTTGTCATCTCTTTTTGCCAGAGTTACTCATGTTGACTTAGTGATGGTTTGGCTACATGAAAGTCCATCATATTATATCACATTTTTATCCAATCACTTAATTATGGACATGCTTATATTGTAGTTTGGAAGTAAGGAAAAAAATATAGGGAAAACACTTGAAGATATAGGCACAGACAAAAACTTTAGGACTGTCATAGTTCGGAATAAGAGTGGGAATTGACAAATGAGATTGCATCATATTAAAATAAGCTTATTCATGGCAAACAATTACTAGAGTCAAAATATAAGCCACAGATGGGAGAAATCTTTGCCAGCTCTTATTCAGAGGACTAATATCTAGAATACATAATGAGCTCAAAAGTTAAACATCAAAAGAGTGAATAATCCAAGTAAAAAATAGGCCTATAAATCAAATAGACAGTTCTTTTTTTTAAAAAATATTTTTTATTGAGATTAAGTGATTACATAAATTTCACAAATTCCACAGTATTGTGGGATAGTGACAGTTAAGGTCACAAACACATTTTAGCCTTTACAAGGCAAATTGAATAGACAGTTCTTAAAAGAAGTACAAATGGTAAATGCACTAAGAAATGTTCAGTTTCCTTAGCCATAAAGGAAGTGCAAAGTGACTCGTAGATTCCATGTCACCTCCCTTATAATGGTTGTCATCAAGAAAGCAAATGCTGGTATGATACAAATATGGGGGAATGAGGGCCCTGGAATGGGAGTCTTATACAGTGTTTTGGGGAATGGAAATTCAGTTGTAGAAATCAGTATGGAAGTGCTTTACAAAACTAAAAATACAATTACCCTATGATCTTGTTACATAACTCTTGGGTGTATATCTGAAGGAATGTATTCAGCCTACAATAGAGATATATGCACACTCATATTTAGAATAGCATTATTTACAATAGTCAAGCTATGAAATCAGCCTGCATTGCCCATTAGCTAATTAATTGATAAAGAAAATTTAGATGCCAATAGATGCCACACTTGTATCTTAGATAATCAAGGAAGTTGAGGCTCAATCTTTTTTTTTTTTTTTGTCGGTCCTGGGGCTTGAACTCTGGGCCTGAGTGCTGTCCCTCAGCTCTTCAGCTCAAAGCTAGCGCTCTACCACTTGAGCTACAGCGTCATTTCCGGTTTTCTGGTGGTTTATTGGAGATAGGAGTCTCACGGTCTTTCCTGCCCGGGCTGGCTTTGAACCGTGATCCTCAGATCTCAGCCTCCTGAGTAGCTAGGATTACAGGCGTGAGCCACCAGCGCCCAGTGCGGGGCTCAATCATTTGAAGCTAATCTGGACAGACAAGTGGGATTCTTACACTAGCTAAGTGCTGGCATGGCTCAAAAGGTAGAGTACCAACAGTGAGCAGGAAAGCCCAATGAGACTGCAAGGCCATAAGTTCAAGCTTCTGTTCTGGCACCTATGCATGCATGTGTGTGCGCACACTTACAAATAATGACCACTAAAATTGTTTAAAACGGGAAAAAAGAAAAAGAATAACAGAGGGAATGAATTTGATCAAAGTACATTGTGTGCATGTATGGAAATATCCTTTTATATAATCAATATAGTCTAATAAAGATTGTTCCACAGCTCTTTAAAAGAAAACCAAGGCCAATGACTTTTTTATAGTGAATATACAATGCAGTACAATAATAGTGTTGTTAGGTGGACTTGTCTCTAGCACTGTTTTTTAAAAATATGTCAGCCCGAGCCGGGCGCTGGTGGCTCACGCCTGTAATCCTAGCTACTCAGGAGGCTGAGATCTGAGGATCACGGTTCAAAGCCAGCCCGGGCAGGAGAGACTGTGAAACTCCTATCTCCAATAAACCACCAGAAAACCGGAAGTGGCGCTGCAGCTCAAGTGGTAGAGCGCTTGCCTTGAGCTGAAGAGCTGAGGGACAGCGCCCAGGCCCAGAGTTCAAGCCCCACGACCGACAAAAAAAAAAAAAAAAAAAAAATGTCAGCCCGGTCTGGGAAGGTCGCTCAATGGTAGAGTGCTTGCCTTGCATGCTTGAGGCCCTGGGTTCGATTCCTCAGTACCACATAAGCAAAAAAAGCTGCAAGTGGCTGTGGCCCAAGTGGTAGAGCGCTAGCCTTGAGCTGAAGAGCTGAGGGACAGCGCCCAGGCCCCACGAATGACCGAAACACACACATACACACACACACACACACACACACACACACACACACACACACACGCCCCACGACTGACCGAAACACACACACACACACACACACACACACACACACACACACACACACACACACACACACACACACACACACACACACACACACACCCCAAACGTAAGCCCTTAGAGGTGTTTTTTAGTATATAGACTTTGTATACAGATATATAGTATACTGGTCAAATTCTGATTAATGAACAGTTGATGGTCTGACCATCCATTA